AGAACGGGATTGGAAAAAGAGGTGTTAGGTAAATTGAGGTTTAATGGCATTGAGCTAAAAATAGTCCCATACAATCATTTTACAGGGCAGGTGATGTGGCCTTTGGAATTGGAAATATTCATAATTCAAGTTGCCAAGCCTCCCTGTCTCCTGGATAGTATTCCCATGGGCATGATCAGTGTCTGTCTCCGTGATTTTTCTTCCTGTGCCATGCTACAGCTGATCAACTCCTTTTATGCTGGAAACATGTTTTCTATATAAATCTCACTGCACTCAACCAGATTAGGAGGTGGTGTGGTGGTGGAGTAGCTCCCAGCAACTGCGGCTCAGGAGTGCAAATTGTGTGTACCTCTTCCCAGCTCTGCTTCCAGTGATGTCACACTGGCAGCTTGAAATCAGCTGTGATAGAAGTATTTATACTAGAGAAATTGGCAAACACTACAAATCAAGATTTATCTCCCCCCCCTTCAAAAGCTGGTTGTTCATTAACTAGCACTCCACTGGTTATAAGTGCAACAGGCCCGACAGCTTCGTGACTTCTTCCAGGTGTGTATTTCTACTTTGATTCATCACAGGCTGATCTACTGGACACACAGAGAGCAATTTTTGGCATTATTTCTTAAAGGGCATCTCTCTTTGTCTCCAGGCCTTCCATTAAAGGGCTCGCCTGGGCAAGGCTGTGGCCCGATGGGAAGCTGGTCTAGGATGGACACCCCTAACACTCAGCACAGTGTTTCCCACCACGTCTCTCACCTATCAAAGCTATTATGTGTGTAGCTGTTCCAGCGACTGGGAAGGATTTCGTAAGACCATTTATTTTAAGTTAGTATTGATACAATGTGCTAACTCGCCACAGACTATTTGTATTTTCATAGGAAACAGTTTAAGGGAAGAGAGCCAAAGGGTGAAATTTCTAGCAACACTGCAGACTGCTGGGGGAATTACTTGGGAGCAAGGAGCAGTTGAATATTTCCTAAATGCTCTCAGGTTGGCTTCCACCTGAAGGTAACCCGCTAATTAATTTGGCAAGTCTGGGAAGAAATGCTGATAATCAGGATAATGACAGTGACGATGTTGATGATAGTTCACTGTCCTTCCTGATAGTGTCCCAGGGGATTTCTCTGACTTTTGGTAACCTTCAAATAGGAGAGATGACTTGATAAAACTTGATCAGAATCTCTGTGACTCATGATATAAAAGTACTTGCCCCAAAGCAAAGATTTATTACCTGCAATTTGGCAAGATCCTAAAAAATGGCCGTTTTGTAAATATACCAATGATGACATCCAGAAAGCGTGCGGTAACTCAAAGGAAGTAAACTCAGGTTTTTCTGGGTCCCAGGAGCACTCACCTCTGGAAATTCCGCTGCCCTGGAACTCTACTTCTAGATGCCGTGAACAGGATACACCTGGATTTGTCTGATCAATAAATATCTCGAGGAAACACACTTGAGAGAACCTCCAGAAACATAGTATGAGGCGCTGCTGCCTGGTGTTCCTGGGGATGGATGACTCAGTGGCAGGCATGGGCTGGCCTTCCGCTTGCAGGCTGCCAGGAGAGGTCTGGGCAGCTTCCGCCAGTTCTCAGGGACTCCCCTGTGACTTTCCACTTTCTGGCACCTGCTTCTTGTTCAGCTCTTACTGTTTTATGACTCATCTGATGGCTTCTTTTCAATGCCTAATATTATTGGTCCAGCTCAGGGAGTGTACCCTTTTCCTACCCAAAAGAGAATCAAATCCTCCCTAAGGAAAGAGGAGAGGAGCCCTAGACTCCTGCTGACAACGTCTGGATGACTGGATGCACCTGCCAATACATTGGTCTGTGCAATGTTTGGGAAGATCAGATGAATCCCTGTGGGAAAAAGTACTTCTGGAAACCCTAGGATTCTATATGGGTCAGCTTGCCAACCTCAGATGAAAAAGAAGCCTATAAACTTTTTCAGATGGGCAAGGAGTGTCCAAAATTATATTTGTATTTAGTAAGGTCCTATGGACACAAATGAGAATCTTAATGAGAGCTGGTTCAAAACATCTTTATTAGGCATCAACGTACCCCACTATCACGAAATTATTACATATATTCTCAAAGCCCTTTTCATTAAGCATGAATTACATTTTTCCATACTTTTAAAACCATGTAAGTTTAATCCTTTTGTTACCATTGTAAACTTCTCCCCCATCACCCAGGAGCCTTTTGGTTGTGTTTAATGTGCCCAGGAGAAAGAACCTCTCCTGGCGGGGACTGTCTGAGCAGCTGTCCATAGGGAAGGGGGTTCTGGGTTGGAAAAGTGATCTTTCTGGGGTATAACTATTTCAAGAAGTAAGCTGGTCCTGAAGAGTCAAACCTTAGAATGCCAGGAGGCACCTAATACATGCATCAGTTGGAGTGGGAGGCAGAGAGAAGATGCCCAGTAAGGAGGCCAGGAGAGAGTGGACCTTGCCAATGAAAAGGGTGTTTCTGGAGCTAAGTCCAGGAGCTCTGAGCATCTGCCAGCATGATTCTTAATGTTTGAACCAGAACGATCCAGTAAGTGGGCCACGATAGTACACGTAAAATAAGTAGACCTCTTATTATTATTTCTTAATTATCTTTCCATTCATCTGATTAGTGTGGATTCTTCTTTATAAAAATAATCTTTTACTGCCCTGGCAGTCGTTAGAGTGTTGGCCCCCCGCACCGATAGGGGCATGTGCAGTAGGCAACCGATTTCTCTCTCTCTCTTTCCCCCCCTTTTCTCCCCACCTCTCTCCCTCCCTTCCACTCTCTCAAAAAAATCAACGGAAAAAATATCCTCAGGTGAGGATTAACCAAAAAAAATCTCTTATTTAAAAAAAGTATTATGCAACCTTCAGAGACAGTACGCAGCTTTATATCCTGCTCAAGTCTGCAGAGTCAAAATGTGTTGTGAGCATCTGCTTTGATGGAGGTATCACAGGTTGGATGAGCTCACCCAGAGGTGGCACTGAGGACAACAGGCAGGGCCTCTTGGAGACTGTACCTGGTGAATGTGGGGGATAGGTGGGTCATCATTCTATCACAGGGCCTAGAGGTCAATTATCCATGGGGGGGTCTAGCAAGTCTACCAGGATCAATTAGTCTTTGAAGACTAATTCATAACACTTTAACTCATAAGAGGCTGAAGAATAAAGAAAAATGACTATTTACAGTAGGGGCCATAATTCTTTTCAGCAGCTAAATTGTACATACTCTTGCCTAGTTCACTCTTTTCCAAGTAATAGGGTTGTTGGAAAACTGAATCTGTTATAAGGCTGTGAACTCAGCAAGGAAGAAGCCTGGATGGAAAATGCCTCTCTATTCCAGAGACCAGAAATGCTCATGCCTTCTTTCCTGAATGGAGCTGGAAACAGGTTGAGTTCCTGTTCTAGGAGCCTGCTTTTTCTAGGCTCTAGGTCCAAACCCTTACCTGTTTCTTCAGTATGTTGATACCGCTGATGAGTCGCTGGATTCCTTCCTTTTCATTCGTGACCTCAACTCCCAGACCCTGACCCTTCCAGTTCTAATCTAGAAACATCCTGAGATCCAAGGCTGGCCAATTTCATCCAAGATGTGTGGATGTTATTACCAACAGCTATAGCAACAACAGTTAACATTTACTGAGCACTTACCATGTGACAAGCATGGTAATAAATGCTTTATCTTCATTAACTCATTGAATTCTTGTAATGACCCTCTGAAGTAGGTACAAATAATTAGCCCCATTTTATAGATAAAGTCAAGGCTGTGGGTGGTAACTTGCCCAGATTAGTAAATTGCCCACTTCACCACACAGTTAGTAACTGGTAAAGCCAGGATTCGAGCCTAAGTGCTTTTGACTTCAGACCCTTGGCTCTTAATCATTAGGCGATACTGCCTCCAGGAGAAACCTTAGCCCACCTCCTGAGAGCACCTCATAGTGGACTCCCATACACTCAACACAATAAACAAGCACAAGAGGTCATGACCACTCTCTTTGTTGAAATTTAAGCTTAAAAATACAGTTGACCCTTAAACAAGTGGGTTAAGGGTGCTGACCTCCCACACAGTTGAAAATCCATACATAATTTTTGACTCCCCCAAAACTTAAGCTGTCCCTTGGTATCCATAGGAGATTGGTTCCAGAAGACCCTGTGAATTAAAATCTGTGGAGGCGCAACTCCCCTAAATAAATTGGTGCAGAACAATGCACACTATCAGCCCTCCGCATCGTGGATTCCTGACTGCAAACCAAAAACAGCACAGGTATTTATTGAAAAAAATCCACATATAAGCGGACCCGCACAGTTCAAACGTGTTGTTCAAGGGTCAACTGTAATTGCTTTGGACATAATTGTTAGAGATCAAGCCAGGATCTGGAAGAAAAATATCTACAAAAATAGACAATGTGAAATCTGAGAACCCGTTTATGACAGTCAAGGAGTCCACAATCTGTTGCTCATAGTGAAATTCTAAAAATTACCTATAGTGTGGTGAGCTTAGGGGAGATGCTGAACAAGTCACACATAAGACCCTGCCCACACTGGAGAGGTAGCCAAGAATTACTGTCACCTCCACCCAGAGGAGGGGCCTTACCAAAGGCCACAGAGAAGACAGCACCCCCTTCTGAGACTGCTTGTTATCTCTGACACTGCGGGAGTTTCCTAATGAATAAGCACAAAATTGAGTGTGTGTATCATTTCCTTTGTGATGCAGATCAGTGAAGCAATACGCCTTTGGTGCTTATTTATGAAGGACATATCACAAATACTTCACATCCCAAGTAGCTCTCAGAAAAACAACGCTGAAAAGTGGTCCTAAGGCCTGTTTCACTGATCTAAACTTCTCTATATTTTCCCATGTCGAATTCAAAATTAAAAAAAAAAAAAAAGAAAAAAAGGCCAATGTAAGTGGGAACTGCTTGAGTGGATCAAGAAGAAAATGGAAAACAATAAAAATCACAGATAATCCCAAAACCTCACTTCGACCGTTAGCATTCTCCCCCTTCAGACATTTCACAAAGTGGCTAATGAGTTGTCAACAACAATTACTTTATTGAGCATTGCTAGGTGCACAGCATTGTACAGAGCTTGAAAATGTCAGACTGATGTTTTTCACACCCTCTCTAAAGGCCTCCGGAATTCCCATGCTCCTGTGGTTTCGCATCCTGCACCCCAGGGAGCAGCCTGCTAGCACCTCTGCTGTTGCACTTACCATGCAGTTGTGTCAGGTGGTCTCCCTACTGGGCTTTTGAACGCTTCAAAGATGGGATCCGTGCCGCGTTTATCTCTGCATCCTTGACGTTCAAACCCATAATGGATGGATGAATGACTGGATGAACGAGGAGCGCTTCACTCTAGTTCCCTCTCTAAACTCCTAGTCTGCGTTTAGGTGGAAGTGCTAATGCCGAGCGAGAGGCCAACGTTCAAAAGGCACGATGTTTGAAAAGGAGTGTCCACAAGCGTGGCTCGTCCACACACTAGAAAACCAGCTCCCTAAAGATGAAGAGGTGGCTGACTTCCCCAAGGACCTGAGACCGTAATAGAGCCACAGAAAAATCTCTAAGCCAGAGCTGGGGTGTATCGACCCAAACTCCCACCTCAAAACCCAAAGCAGCTGGTTGGCAACAGACCAGCAGTCCAGCCACGTGCTGGGCCACGGCGCCTGTGAACCGGGGGCACGGCCATCTCCAGTGGTCCAGTGCAGAGTCTCAGCCACCTAAACCTAAGGATATTTTTTTGCTTTACGATCCCTTCCCAGATTTCAAAAAAGGCCATGCAAGAATAAATAAATAAGACACTGAACAAGAAGCCGTGAAACAGAAGACATTTCCAAAAGGCTCTCAAGGAGCAGTTGGGATACCCTGCTCCTTGCATGGTGCCAAGGGGCTCAAGCTGCCATGGATGCCCTGTTTGGGCCTTTCAGTTTGCAAATATGTACGTACTATGTGGGAATACAGAGTCTGTGGGACGTAGGAAGCGTGATGTTGCGCATGGATGGCCAATAGTGTCACCACATAGGATGAATCCAACGGATGAGTGTTTGATGGATGATGGAGAAAACTCTGCCATGGTCCAGGGAGGCAGCCGAATAGTACCGCATACACCACATATCTGACATCCAGGTGTGACGGGACACGTGGAAAAGATCCTGGCTCCTGATATGCCATCAGGTAGCCGAGAAACTGAAGGCAAGCCTGCTTCCTCCCTGCGCCTCAGGCTCCTCGTTAAATGAAGGTTTGGCCAGACTGTCTCTCTGGTCACTTCTAAGATTTTCTTTCTTTCATCGGCAGGATTCTTGACCCATCGGTACCCTTGCCCTTCCATGTACCTTCACACGGCTGAGACGAAGGGAAGCCCAATTACAGATGTTAATGCTCACACACAGAACTGTTGGTGAAATACTGCTTAAGATGCTACAATTCAGTTCACAGCTCCCTATCACGGACCGTCTGGGGTCATAAGCCCCAACCTTGCATCACAGATTGATTAGGATGCCACCTCGCTGGCTGCTCTTCTACTCTGGGTCCAAGTCAATTATTTTTCTGCAAAATGTAACTCACTACACTCATGTTTCACGTCCACCAACCCAATACAAATAGCTGACCATCATTCTCTCCTCGTTGTCTTTCTGGGCCCCAAGTTTTTGCATCCAACTTTCAGATGAATGGTGGCCTGCGCCCCCAAGATCAATACTTTACACGTGGCCCCTTTTTGTCTTTTTTTTTTTTCACCTCACAGCAACTCTTTACAGCACTCAGAAAAATCCAGACCACTCACTCTCAGCTGTGGAAGGCAGAGCAAAATTTGGGAGATTCTTACCATTTTCAGTGCAAGATTTAAAATGACAAGTGTTTGATCAAAAGAGTGGGGATTAGCTCTCAAACAGAATTTGCTTCAATGGGAGAGTTATGTTTTCTAGCCTCAAACACACTATAAAAATAATTGCCTAAGAGATAATTCTTAATCAAGTTTATACATATATAAACTTTCCAGATGGCTAGAATAGTTTTTGTTCAGTGGCTCTTTTCTATACATTTATACCAAAACAATCTTTTAAGGAAAGAAGTCAGCATGTTTTACTATATTGGGTATTTGCTTGATGTATAAGACAGAATGATCTAGTATGCTGCAGAATTTGAATTTTCATATTAGCTTAATATGTAGGTCTTTGAGATCAAGCTTGTCAGCCAGAGATTTAATATATTTCAAGTTAATCCAAGCTTGGCTAGGGATGGCCTGGGACCTACTGCACTTACTCAGAGCTGGGCTCTGACCCTTGTGCCCTCTTCTTTATACCCCAAAAGACTGTCCTACACTGTTCAAGAGGCAAACAATCTTTGCCCTTGCATTCAAAATTTGCTATGCCACATTTGGCATAAAATGCTTACCATTACATTAAAAAAAATGCTGCAAAATTCAACTCTGGAGATAAAAACATCTTAAAGATCCTTGGTAACCACGGAAAGCTAAGGGATATAGCAGATTCCATATCCTAAGAAAGCTATTTCAACAGGGAAGCATGTCTGCACCTCACCAAGGTCAGCTGAGTCATGGAGAAAGAAGCAAAAGACACATTGGCCAAGAATATTTCTATCAGTTTTGCCTTGAGTCTCAGAGAGTGATGGGAGGAACAAGGTTTCTTTTTCATTGTCTCAGAAAACCCTTTGGTTTAGACTGTCCTCTTTCTAATTCTTCCCTCCCTCTTCTGTGATTTTTACTGATCACACTGAACACCAGAATATCTCAGCTGGTCATCTGTATCAGTAAATAAGCGAAGGTTATGGTTTAGAAGTTTGCCCATTTCACATCAGATGACCTACACATAACTCTGAACATTTCTCTAGGGTCAAGTCTAAACTGTACCATCTTCCTTTGCCAAAACATACAGACATCCCCAGGAAAGGCCAAAAAAATAATAATTGAGAGTGAACAAAAACCCACTGTACAGACAAAGTATTCCAGCCTTCTCTATTTAAAGAAAAAAATCAAATTTACTGTGACTGGCCACTATTAGTTTTTTGAGTTCTATAACTCCCCAGAATTTTCAAAAGTAACCTTGTAGCCAATTCGCTTGAAAACACTAAATACAACCTGAAATAAGCCACCCATGGTACCAAAAGCAGTGTCAAAGAGCAGAGAGATGGCACCACCAAGGCCCACTGCAATGTCCTTGCACACAATGGGAATGGCGCCCATGGTGTACACGGGGAAAGTGGCCACATCCACAAGGACTCGGACAGGGATGCCCAGAATGCGGCAAACAAGCTTTAGCAGACAACAAAGGATCCGGAGAATGGCCCTGATGATTTTGACTATGACTTTGAGTACCTTCCAGGGAATGCTTGCCAGCTCTTCCCCAATGGCCAAGAGGTACGAGACAGTGGCTGAACCCAGGTGGTACAGGCAACCTTCTATGCCATTAATCACCTGCTTGGTGACATACCACAGGATATACACAGTGTTCTTCAGGATTCCTACCACAAGGTAGCAAATTAACTGGGAGAGCTTGATGAACGGCGTAGCGATGAAGCCTACAAGTTTCCCCAGAAAGCTGCTCCTTTCCTCAGATGCCTCTGGAGGCAGCAGAGCCGACCTCTTGCTCCTGGTGCTGGGGAGGGGACTAGTGCTTTCTTTAGACTGCGCCATCCGCTCTTCATCCTGGACTTGGTTAACCATTTCCAGGATCTTTTTCATTTTCTCTGTGTCCTGCTCTGTTTCACCACAGTTGTTCTGGAACAACTGAGGGTTAGATGGAAGCAGTTTCTCCAGCTCTTTCAGCATCACATCTTCTATGACATCACCGTCCCTGGTGTGCTTGACAAAGCCCATGGCCCAGCCTCCTCCAGGGACAGCACAGCAGGCTGCCAGCCACACAAACTTAGGGATGGTCACCTTGTCTTTCACTTTGATGTCTGAGGGCACGGCGCCCGTGATGATGTATAGGTCGTCCCCATCGCCGCACTGTGGGGTCAAGGCCCGGTCCATGAGGCTGTTGAGATTCATGTACCACCGCTCCTGGAAGGTCGGGGTCATCGGAGCTGCATTTGTGAGAGTGAATGTGGCCACGTGGGAGTCACTGCTGAGGGAGAATGGGTACAGCTGTCCTCTCTGGTAATCGGAATCCAGGTAATCTGTATTCAAGGCTTGCTTGCTTCCCAGATTGTTCACAGTGGTGGTGGCGTCAGCCTCATGAGTCACCTCCTCAAGGCTGCTGTTGGGGTCATCAATCTGAAAGAAGAGAGGGAGTGATCAGATGCATCTGCGCTCGGCAGTGAGGATGCCCTTGAACCACCCTGCCAAGACTCTAACAAAAGTCCATTTCCTACACTCAGGGTTGAGTCTGGCTTTCTGGTGCACACACACTTCATTCTAACATCCCCCAATCCCAATGTTTGAAAGCATCTTTCAAACACGCTGTTTCCTATTTTACTCTGTGTTTCCGCCACTCCTGCTCCGCGGTAATACCCCATCGCACTATCACACACTCACCCCCCCCACAAATACACCATCATGACATTCATTTCTAATCTGCTGTGGATTTATGAATTTCATAGCTCTTTTTTGGAATACTTTTCCATGCGATTCAACTTGATTGTAAAAATGAAGCAAGAGGAAAGTAGATCTCAATAGGCCCAAATGAGTCAGAAATGTGATTCAGATAATCAGCCACCAATGTAATGAGCACATTCTTAATGAATGTTTATATACTTTGGGATATATGAAAAAACCAACGCTAATCAGAGCATCTAAATCAAATGAGGGAAAACATATAGCTTATTGTAGTTATCAGATACTTACCAGGCTAAACTAAGACTAAAATTTGAAAGCCCTGGCCGGTGTGGCTTGGCTCAGTGGCTGAAGCATTGGCCCACACACCAAAGGGTTGTGGGTTCAATTCCCAGTCAATGGCACATACCTGGGGCACATACCTGGGTTGCAGGTTCCATCCCCAGCCCCGTTGAGGTGTGTGCAGGAGGCTACCAATCGATGTTTCTCTCTCTCTTTCTCTTTCTCTCCCCCTCCCTCCCTCCCTTCCACTCTCTCTAAAAAAAAATCAAGAAAAAAATATCCTCAAGTGAGGATTAACAAAAAAAATTATAATTTGACCAACTGCTGTTTGAACTTAATCTCCCCATGACATTTAGTATTATTAACAATTCTGTCTAGGTCAATCTAGATATGTAACAATAATGCACCAATAAACCTACTCTTGCCCCAAACTGTGTGTGTGTGTGTATAAAATCTTGGGGATTTTGTTGTTGTTGTTTTTAATTCAGCAGTATAATGTATACTTTCACTTTCCCAATTTGAAAGGAAAAAAAGAATCAGCTCAGGATCGACGCAGAACTCTGTTTTTACCTCTCAAACCAGACCAGGCGCCCTGTATATTCCCCCAGGACCCAACCAAGGACTGACACACATTAGCATCTCAAGGTACTAATTCTTCTTTATGCCCTGAGATAGTCATCATGACAGACAGGCATAATAGCAGGAAGTTGAACTAACCCACATTTTCAAAAACAAGGGAAGTTAAATAAACTATGTTATATCTATCAGAGAAATATCTCAAAGCCATTAAAAAGCACTTGTAATTATGATGAATTTGTAATGATGAGGAAATATATGCTATAAGACTGAAAGGAAAAGACAGGATATGAAATTAAATAAAAACAATTTTTTAAGTCTAAAAACAGGCAAGAAAAACTTTGGAAGGACACAGAAGAAAATGTATGCAATGGTTTTTTGATTCCTGGGAATGCTAGTGATTTTCTCCCTCTATTTTCTTGGTTTTTTCCCTATATCTCTCCTACCCACCTCTCCTGCCGACATCAACCCACACATTATTTATATTATGTGTTACTTTCAAAGGGAAACAAACAAAAAAGAAACAAATTAAAATAAGTAAATTCTTAATATCTGATTCCGTAGAGTTAGGGCTACTCACTAATATCCATCACCAAACCCAAGGAAGTCAAGGCCATGCGAACTGTGTTGTGCCTCTTTACAGGAGAAAAACCAACCATGCTTTTCTTCAGCTCTGCGATGGCAAATGTGGGCATGTTCACGGGAGTATGTGTACGGTTACCAAGGGCAATGGGTGAGCAAATTGATGCGAAAGCAGGAATATTTCCTGAAGTCTAATGGATTACTCCATAGCCTTACCCTTCAAGGCTGTTCCATCCCTTCCCCCAGTCTTAGAATCAGCAATGATCCTAGATGTTCTCCACTCCCATCAGATCCCCAGAGGACAGAGATAAGCTGCTCATTCATTTTGTAAAGCTTCTGCAGCTGCTCTCCTGTGGCTGAAAGATATACCACAGGGGACTATCAGCCTCATTCCTGAATCGTGAGATCAAGATATGACAGAGTCAAGATTGTGGAGTCTTGGGTGTGAAGTCAGGAATTTCAAGATGCACATGTTTCCATGGTTACTAGGCATCCTGTCTGCATTTAGCCTACAACTTCTTTATCCCCTCTAGGGAAAATCTGGAGCTGATTTTTTAAAATTGGTAGCCCGGTGACAGAGCATAGGCAGGACGCAGGTGTGTTTTCAGCCCAAGGGCCATCCAGGAATGAAACAGTGCCTACAGGGGTGGATGGCAGGCCTGGAACAGGAGCGGAGAAGAGAGACTCTTGGATGAGGAAGGGAAGGAGCAAGAGAGAGAGGCAAAGGGGGAAGAAAAGGAGAGCAGTGAATGCGAGAAGAGAGAGGAGAGGCAGAAACCAGGACTGTGGGTTGACTAGTCTCAAGCTCTAGAACTTGGCCTCCCAGTTGCCAAGGTCAGAGGAGACTTAGCTGGTTGCTTCCGCTTCCTCTCAGGCCACTTGGGTTCATGGGGCTTCAAATTTCTGCTGTGGCTGTGCACCTGGCAACCAGGTTAATCCTTTCCTGCCCACACTTCAAAGGTACAAGGGAAATGGGCCAGATGGCACCGAGGTTGCTGGCAAGGCCAGGGCCTACTTCTGCAATGGGTTCTGTGCCCTGGGCCTCCCTGGCAAAAGGAATAATTAAACTATATGCTGTGGATACACAGGCAGGAGAGAACACATCTTCCCTCCCCCTTTCCTTGCTTCTGCAGAGCCCCATATCCATGCTCACTATATTTTTATGATCTTCATATCTGGCTCTACGGTTTGATGACAAGATAGAATATAATGTTTGAAATCAAGACAGAAGGCCTGCATACTGTACCTATATAGTGACGAGGTGCGGGGTCAGGGACTAATACAGTTTAAACTACTCAATACTTGTTTTCAACATAGCACTATATGGAAGGTATTTTTATCTTATTTTACCTTATTTTACAGTGTCCTAAGACAGGACACAGAAAAATGGTGTAACTTCTCAAAGTCACCTAATAATTAGCAGGAACAGGGTTTGAACCGAAATCGGTCCTTTTATTCCTAAAGCATGCATCCTTTATTACTAAGCCACACTTTCCCCCGTCCTAATGGACACTGTGATACCAGTTTTCTCTGTCACAGATTGGGAAAGAGTGTTGCACTAGCTGCAATTGCCTTTTCTCTCCGTGTCATGGAATAAATGAAGTTCCTCAAGGTTGCAGGGAGAGAAGCTGCTATCTGGACGCCCGGCGTTGCAGTCCCAGGCTAGCGAGAATGGCAGGGAGAAGGGAGAAGGGCACAGCTGCAGGCTGGCCTTCATGCCTCCTTGTTGGCTTTGCCCAGGGCTCATGGCAGCTGAGCCAGTAGCTTCACAGTCTAAAGGTGTGGTGGCACAGGCAGAGGGCAGCTGGCCAGCGCCGTCCCCAGACTACTATTACCCTTAGAAACCGGCCAGCGGTCTGGCTCAGCGTTCCTGTTACGGTAGCTCCTCGGCCGGCTACTCCCTTTTTATTCCTCTACACCAGCAGGGGCACCAGAGAACAGCAAGCACAGCGAAACTTCCCGGAGAAAAACCAAAATCAGTCCACTCAGCACAGCCTCCTGCACTCCCGCTGCACAGAACGGAGTGAAACAGTTAGGAAAGGGGCTCTACACAGCCACGGTCACCTGGATAAGCTGTATGGAGTAACTGACTCCGGATTGTATTCCTTAAGACTTTCTGTTTTCAACGAACACTCATTCATGTTGCCTCCGGTAAGGATGGCTCACTGGAAGGATAGAAAGGCACAGAAACCAAGAGAAGCTGAACCAATAGACTCCCAAAGCCCCAGAACTGTGGTGGAGCTTGGATTCCAGAAATGGATTCCAGGCAGCTCTAAGAAATTTTGGCAGCAAGAGTCTGTGGCTGAGACTAATTCGATGTTAATGATTGCCATTGTTCAGCCACATTTGACCTGTTGGACTTTTTCTATCTCTCCCTCCTGGCTTCTTCACCTACTTCTTTCTGTGTAGCTCTTCTCTACTTCATGCCTTCTGCTGACCTATGGTCTCTGTTCCATCACCACTCGAGCTTGCACATGGATCATCATGGCCTCCCTGGCCACTGACCATATCATTCACCTGCATTCTTAGCTACTTCTGTTACTTAATTTTCTATTTCAAATGCTCAAGAGACAGGATCCAATTTACCCAGATCAACTTTAAATATCAGGTCATGTCAAGACAAGCGTATGGAATAGCCATCCTTGAGTTAAATGCTCACCCCGGTCCAATCAGCTGTGGCTGGGTGCTGGAGAAAGAGCTCTGGTGATGGCACAGGGCTTCCCCTCCATCAGAGACCAAGGAAGTGTCAGGCATCTTGTCTAGTCATAGCCTTAGTTCAACACACTAATATAGATAAATGAGTGTGAATAATACTAAACAAAATTAAAACAAGAAATAAAAAATAAATTTCCCAAGGTTTATCTAATCTATTATTACTCTGACAAAAAAAACAAAGGATGTCTTATAAGATGACATGTTGACCTTCTATAAACACTTTATTCTCTCCTTTGAGGGTCCAATTAGATACACCTCAAAACCTCTCTTTCTGTCTTTTCTGTCTTATCTTCTTTTTCATATTTTCTATCTCATCAACTTCCATATTGTATACTAGGTGAGTTCCTCTGATATATCTTCCAAGTCACTAGATCACTCTTTAGCTATGTCTAGTTTACCTGTTTGTTGAAGTTTGTTTTCTTTTTTTAACTCAATGATTCTTTTTTCTTTTCTAGCATTTCTATATGGTTCTATTTCAAATTTTCCTTAATTATTTTCTCTTGTGAAATTCTTTTTTATCTTTCAATAATTTAGACATGCTTATCTTAAAGTCCCTTTAAGATTTC